CATCCCTTGATAATCCACACCTACAAAACATTATATAGAATCCCTTGATAATCCACACCTACAAAACATTATATAGCATCCCTTGATAATCCACACCTACTAAACATTATATAGCATCACTTGATAATCCACACCTACAAAACATTATATAGCATCCCTTGATAATCCACACCTACTAAACATTATATAGCATCCCTTGATAATCCACACCTACAAAACATTATATAGCATCCCTTGATAATCCACACCTACTAAACATTATATAGCATCCCTTGATAATCCACACCTACTAAAACATTATATAGCATCCCTTGATAATCCACACCTACAAAAAATTCAGTAGCTGGCATTCAGAATGGATTGTATTGATATTAGGGTTTTTATTCTTTCGTTTTGAATTATTTCTTCATCTCGTGCAGATGTAGTTTTTGAAGAGTAACCTTACGTTGCAGGTGCTTCGTCCATTTCTTTTGAGAAGATTAAAATCTGAAGTGGAGAAACAGTTGCCAAAGAAGTATGAGCATGTTATTATGTGTAGACTCTCTAAGAGACAGAGGTTTTTGTATGAAGACTTTATGTCCCAAACAAAGTAAGTTTATTAGAGAAATTTATTTTTACACATGAGCATCATGTTGATTTTCACAATATTTGTTAATGTAAGACATAGTAATTCTTAGATTCTTTTTTTTTACCATACTGGGTCATTAAATTTGTTATTCCAGTAAATCTTTAATCTTTAAAAAGATGATTCTTTATACCAGTTTTTGGTGTATAATGATTGACAAAGTTTGAGATTTAGGAAGGTCTTGCATACCATTGAAATTCATGTAAGTTTTGTTATGTTTTTGTTGTACATTCTATCAAATATTTTAATAAACTTTTTTAAAGAGGTTCTCCGGCATTGATTGAGCAGCGTGTTTATTACTTCATAAAACTTTGACTTTTGTCATGACTTCACAGACACATGATTGGAAACATAAATTAGTTTAAATATAGGTAATAGTAGTATAAGTTAGGTACCAAGTATTTAGTGAACAGCAAAATTTGACATGCTGGATGCAGTAGTTCGTCAGAAAGGTCGTTTTGCCCTTGGACTTTCCTGTTATCCAAATATTCTTAGAAAATTGAAAAAAAAACTTTAAAATCAAAACGTTTCTATTTACAAATTTCCGGAAATTTTATGAAAAAAGTACAAATTTGGGTTTGTAATTTAAATGATAGAAAATTCTGGACCCACTGATAGAATTCCTCGGGTGTTCGAGTTCCGTCGAGGACAGATGTGATGAGACTTGGTAATATTATTGCAGTTGAAGTGAGTTTAACATATAAATTCTTCTTCTCGGAAAACTCCATCTTTATTGTTAGATTATTTTTAATTAACTTCAAAAATCCAAATCTTTGTCACGTTGGAAGATGATGATGTTGACTGACTATTCTTCAGCAGTAAGAAAATCATCCCTCCTATACTGAAGAATATATTTCACAACATTTGATCTTGTAGGTGTGGATTATCAAGTGATGCTGTATAAAATCCTGTAACAGGAATGATAGAAGGAAGCCACGAGTATAATGAAAGTTTAATCAAAAGACTACATAAGGTGAGAATCATTAATTAAATATCTTGAGTTATCAAGGGTTTTAAAATTGTTTTGTGTGGGCACACAAAACAATTTTAAAACCCTTGATAACTCAAGATATTTAATTAATGATTCTCACCTTATGTAGTCTTTTGATTAAACTTTCATTATACTCGTGGCTTCCTTCAATCATTCCTGTTACATGATTTGCACACAAAACAATTTTAAAATCCTTGATAGCTCAAGATATTTAATTAATGATTCTCACCTTATGTAGTATTTTGATTAAACTTTCATTATACTCGTGGCTTCCTTCAATCATTCCTGTTACATGATTTGCACACAAGACAATTTTAAAACCCTTGATAACTCAAGATATTTAATTAATGATTCTCACCTTATGTAGTATTTTGATTAAACTTTCATTATACTCGTGGCTTCCTTCAATCATTCCTGTT